TCGACTTCAAGTCTCCAGGTAAACTCAAACTAATAACCCTTATTCCAGGTTTCCATAATTCACCAAGCTAAGTGACTATTATATGTCGATACCTTAAACTCATACTCATTGGTTCTTGAAAAATACTTTGTATAGTTGTAGTGTCAAGTATTAATACAGAATAACTGATAACTTGATCTCGAACTTTGCCAATTTTAGTTCATGATATCTAACTGATAAGATACCCAAACTTCTGACTCTAAAGATTGACTACTTTCTGAAACTTTGTTTCTACGGTTCAGTTTCAAGCCTTCAGGATCTTATCCGGCTTATGGTTCTTATTTCAAACCTCCATGATTTACCCAGACTTATGGCTATTATGCACTGAAAAACCGTTACTTCTGATACTGGCTCAAATACATGGACAACCTCTAGAGTCAGATCTTAACTCAAATCTTAATCTGATGGCTTAACCTAAAATGTTCGAGTCTCTTTATTAATTTATCGTGGAGATTAACTTGATAAATTAGAGTTCAAACTTGAATTCTGACTATAGTTCTGACTTCTTATAGAAAGATATATATGATACTACTAAGATTCTTTAATACTAATCTGAAAATCTAGAATGATTTCTAGAGTTCGAATATCTTAATTCTTATTGAGCATAGACTTAGTAAATTTAAATATATTTAAAAACTTGTATAAACTTTTAACAGCACTTACCCGGTAGTCGACGAGGTGTGAGTGAAGTGTGATCGGGTTTCCTTGACACGTTCTGTAAAGACTTTGGCTTCTCTGAAAACTTTTCTTTCAAAAACTTAAACTTTTAGTATACAGAGCATTTAAAACTCTAACTCTGATACCACCTGTAACACCCCATTTATTAGACTAATTTTTTCGCAACTTTTACTTCGAAAATACTTATAAATCTTTCGAAATCTTTTGCGAATAACTCGGGATGCTACTCAACATCATCTTCTTGAAAATCCGATTATCTTTAAACTTTGTCTAATACTTCTTTAGACCTAAAGAAAACAGATTTATTCAACTTGCATTTAACTGTACCATATTCATAATTCTGAATGGTAAAAACTTGAAATCTAAAATTTATTAAAATGCAAAGTCAAATCTTAATATGCATAGCGGAAATACATGAAAACGTGATTAATTATACAGATTGTTTTAAATGTCCATATAAAAACTTGTCATAATCTGAATCCACGATCCACACCTCACTGCTCCACCCACACCTTCTCTTCGACCTGTTACCTGAAAATAAACTTATGGGGATGAGTACTGTATAAAGATAATCTTAAACCGATATCTGATCGGTAATCAGGAATCTGTTCTGGTACTGAAACTTAATCTTTTCTCTTTCTCTTCCGATATCTGATCGGATACGTGTGCACACTCTGATGGATATTTCTCAAGGCAACTCAACCGACCTCCATCAGAACTTAGGATATACTCTGAGACAACTGAATGGCTCCTCATCCCAAGCGTATAAATCAGAACTTAGGATATACTCTGAGACAACTGATGGCCTCCTCATCCCAAGTATATAAACTTAAACTTTTATCAATATCGTACTCAATGTGATACCCACTCCGGGTCCCCACCTTTTGTCTTTGAAAGCATTTGAAAAACGATAAGTGTTGTACTCGGTAATTGTATCTGCAAATTTACATAAAATATAAACAAATATACTAAGTACTATGCTCGTATACTCAATAAGATACTATAATTCTTAACTTATCCAAATCTTATAGAAATTTAATAGACATGCTATTGCTCAAGTTAATACTTAACTTAACTTTTCTTGAACTTTTACTCAAGGTCTATTATAAATCATGTCTTCAAAATCATAGATATTGGCTTATACCCGCATGTCACTTAAATAACTCGAGTGTGAAAATAACTAAATTTCACATTATACTTGATTGAGTATTTAAACTCAAAACATGCTTAACTTTTACCAACATCATATTCATGATTTATAAATAATGAACTCATCTTAACTTGTATGGTATTAAATATTTCAACTTAATACTCATACAATACAACTTTTAATCATAATACTAAATTATGATCTTAATATGTGAGATTTAAAACAATTTATATAAAAATTGTAAACTCAACATATTAAACAAAAACTTTGTCAAATTGCTCATCACTCATATGAGAATTATTCATAAAAATCTCACTTTAACAATTTGATCATATAATGAATATTCTTGCATATATACTCATCTTTACATATTTGCCATCTTATTATCTTAACTCCTTCATTTCTCATCTTTAAATTATGAAATTTAACAGTCATATTCTTAACTCATAATTAGATATGTCATAAAAATTTCATAATTTTATCATATATATATCTCGACTTATTCAAGTTTAAAGTTAATGCTGGAAACAAGTACATAAAATTCAGCTTGCATGATAAACTTTTAAAATTCATATCTTAAGTTATACTAAACGAAATGACTTGATTCTTGATCCTATGTATTCCTATTTTACACAAGAAATAACCATAGGAAGCATATATTTTCAAATTTTCATAACTAGGTAAAAATCTCATCATAACTGAACACATATGATATATATATGAGCTGGAAATAACTTATCTTCTAGCATGCTTATACTCATATAAAACTTTAATATCTAAGTCATATAAAAATATTATTAAATACTTAATAGCATCTACTAAACATGTTAAAAAGATAGCATCTTACCTCCTTCTTGCTTGAAAATCTAAAGTTGCTCCTTGATTTCTTCGAAAATTAAAACTCTACTATTTTTATTTTTATTTTTCTCTCTCTTTCTATCTATTTGATGAAACTATGATGATTTGAGAAGATACTTGATGATAAAATCTGACTGAAATGCCTCTATTTATAGCCATGAATGAGCTTTTGATAGATAAAACTTAGTCCACCAAAGTGTAATAAAATTCTCATCAATTGTTGAAAAAAATGTTAACTTAAAGACTTAGCAAAACTTTGTTGTAATTTTCTCATCTCATTCTCACCAATTGATGACCAAAATTTCGTGCTTAATCTGATGGAATTGATTCCATATATTATTGAAAAAATGTCCCCATTCATCATATAAAAATTTTTAGAAAAAAAATAATAAAAATAATAAAAATCATCCTTTTTATTTCTTATGCATTTTCTTTCAAAATGGCTGACTCTTAAAACTCTTTTTATGAAAATTAATGCTCATATATGATCTTAGAACATACTAAGAAAAACAAGAATAATAAAATTTACGGAAGTCAATTCGGACTTAAAACGAACGTTTACCGTAAAACTGAAAATTCTAAAACTTAAATCTTTTACTCCGGGTTTTTCCTTCAATTTACTGAACATATTGCTTCTTAGAAGCTAATATAATGATCTTGGAATACCCTAACATTTACGGAACCACATTCGGACTTAAACCGAACGATTACCGTAAAACCGAAAATTCTAAAAATTTCGGTTTCTCTTAAAATAATTTAAACAAACTATAATGTCTAAATAAATTTTCTCACTTCTTTGAACATTTATAACTTAAATGTTCATGAATACTTAATCTTACTTCGAGACTTAACTTGTCTCAAATTGTGCTAAGGCTCGATACTATGATCTTATCTTGATGACTTGAACACTTAGAAAAATTCGAAGTATTTAGTACTCAAGCTCGACTATTACTTAATTAAGACTCAACTCATGACCGAACATACTTGGGTTCAGTTCACTACTTATCTTAAACGATTAATCAAAATATACTCAATTTCGATTATTCGTCATCTTATATTAATTAATCCCGTCTTATAAATCCATTTATAAAAATAAACAGACCGAAATTAATTAATTACTGAACTGGCTCGATTACTAAATAAATTAAACCGAGAATACTTTCGACTTAAAGTCGAATTTTTAACTTAATAACTGGCTCGGAACTAGGAACGAGCATTATTAATAAAAGTAATTAGTTCAAACTTAGAATAATTACTTTTATTAATTACTGAATGGGATATTACAAGTAACTGATAGAGTGATCTTCGGTTCGTCCGATGACAACCCACTCCATCTAAGTGCAGAACAACATAACGTAGAACTTGTTTAATCTAACATGATTCTCATTCATAAAGGGAAAATGTGTAATAACATGAAAAGCCAAGCTTTCAGTATATAACACTAACAGATATGTGTTACAAGAAGTCCGGTAAAAATACTCACAACAGGCGTGTTTAATGTCCGAAAAGGATCTTCGTACAAGAATAAATTCTATTATTAATAGTAACTTTTCGCTCGATGTTCGAGGTTGGTACAGTTGCATTTAATGCAAAGTGACTTTATGATGATGGTTATGTTGCAGGTTGGCCCGTAGGATATGATTGAGGCATGTGTTACGGGGGGTTTGGGTGGTTTGACACATAGGTGCCTTGTCATTGGTTTTGATCTCGGTATCGTGATAGGAGCTCGGTTTCTCTCGAAGTCGGTCATCCTGGGACTAAGTCGGTTTTCGTTCGGTCTGTGCCGAGTTGCGCCAAGTTGATCAAGTTAAATGATCATCTTCACAAAATGATAATCTTCATTTAGCATCCGTAAATCCAAATGTTCAAGTCGGTTGTCAACATATATATACAACAAAATCTCATATAACTGTTAATTTTGCAGTTCATTTGAATATGCAATTTTTATGGGGTGAAAAAGAAGTTTTTTTATGGAACATTGTGTAAAAGAAAGTGCATGTATATATTAGAGTGTAAAAGCAATTTGCACTAATTTTAATTGGTCATCATTTCCAATAATCCATTTCTTATTTTCACATCATATCAACTTTAATCATTATATTTTAAACATTATTTAAATACAAACCCAATTTTTCACTTAAACCAAACTCAATCAATTTTTTTCCAAGTTAATTAACTTTATCTAATAAATTCAACCATATAATGCAAAAGTAACTAATATTCAATCTGACTGCTTTATTATTGATGAGTTAGAGTAGGGCTAACCATAAGTAGCACCCATGTTACAGCACTACCAGTAGGATCAAACCAACCCTATGGAAGATGGAGATGTTAAAACGATAGGACCTTTACTAAGAAACCATTATTAGCTCTCTAGAGCCTATCCAAACCCCAAAATGATAAAAAAACTACTTTTTAATAGGCCCAGATTTATTAGAGTTCCGTGGAAGGTCAAAACCAGAACAGGTTATGGGGAGCAGATTGAGTCAACTCCTAAACTGCACTAAAGTTGCAAACAGAGCCATTTTTCTGGTTGCCCGGACTAAATTTTTCTGCTCCTTGGGCTATTGTTTGGGTCAAGCAGACTTCTCCTCCGCCTTTCTTCCTTTCTGCCATAATCCTTTTCGTGGATTGGTAAAAGGTGGCATACAGCAATAACTGGACCAACCCTAGTAGGGCTCCCATCCCATTAGGGGCCTGCATAATTAAAATTTCTTTTCAAATTAATTGTGGTAGTATGCAATGATAGCACTTTTTTTTTTTTTGGTTATATAGTATAATCAAGTGAACCATAGACAGAGCGGATCTAGCAAATTAAGTGAGGTGGGGCCAAATTTTGTGATAACTGAAAAAACAAAAAAGAAAAAATGGCACAAGATAAGATATACAAAATTACCATTACATACAAATTTTATATTTTTAAATAATTCAAAATGAAATATTTAAACACCCTACAGTTTGTATATTTCAGTATTATTATCCATTCCAATGACTTAATATGTGTTATTATCAATAGAAAATTATTCATCTTTCAACAGCAGATACATTAAGTTGTACATATGTGAAGTTCTCATGATTAATCAATCGCATGCCATACAATGTATGTCAATCTTTTAAAATATTAATATTCACTGTGTAGGAGAGCGATAATACTTTTTAATATGTTGGATCAAAGAATTTATTATAATTCGATCTCTTAATTGATAAATTTATATGCCATACAATGTATGTCAATCTTTTAAAATATTAATATTCACTGTGTAGGAGAGCGATAATACTTTTTAATATGTTGGATCAAATAATTTATTATAATTCAATCTCTTAATTGATAACTTTATTATAATTATCATAATAGCATACAAAGTCATGATAAATTTTGTTTAAAGTACAACATATAATAAGATTTTACAATTAAAAAAAAAATAATAAGAGAAAAGGAGGGAAAAAAAACCCAATTAATAAACAACTTCATTTACACTATACGCCTAAATTACATATTGCCTCCGTATATCTTGTGATGTTATCAGTCATTTGGGGAGTGGTGGGCCTTTCCACTAAACTACACTTAATGTAATTTGTTACCTACACTAAGCAACGTACACCATCCAAAAGCTCATACACGTGTTCCCTATTTCGAAAGTTTTCTTCCAAGGCAGTGTACAATGTGCAAATTAGCTATAACTTGTGATTAACCAAAAGAAACAAGATACGTTTTGCGAATTAAATAGGTATTGCTGGGGAGAGTCCAACGTGCAAATTAGTGATGAATTATGGTTATCAAAAATAAGGAAATTATCTACGAAATTAATAGGTCTCGCTGAAGCCAGTGTACAGTAAAGTAAGGGGATGGCTATGATTCCGTTATTTTTATGTAAACCATTAGATATACTGTTATTATTATTTTTAGACGGTTCGGACTTGAATATACCATATTTACTACATATAGATTAGTGTAGTGTAGATAATTAGATAATCTATATTAGTCATTTAACAAATATAATAAATAATATAAATTATCTATTCTCACCAATTTCTTATTATTTGACCACTCATCCATTCACTACAATATATAAATAATATTTATAAACTTGAGATATTAAATTATTAATAATTAGAGATATAGATTAACATGTATTATTCATTCACTATAATTTATAAATAATATATATAATCTTTGAAATATTAAAGTATTAATAATAGAATCTATCATTATATAAAAAGAATAATTTTTTTACAATTTTAGAAATGTTTTCCCGCCAAATACATTAAATGTATCCTATATATAGTAATTGTTGGACAATATTGATAAGGCAACAAAATCGGTCGACTAATTGTGTTAGAATCTGTTTTCCTTTTTCCTATTTTTGGTATTGAAAATCGCGTTATAAAATCTCATAGCATAAATCTAGAGTTTATCTCTTATCTGTTACAAAATCCATTGCATACGTCTTTAAAAAATCTCATCTCTTATCTATAAAGATTTAAAGAAATAAAATAAAATAAAAACCAATTCATAATTACTACTAGAAATCCATTATCTAATTTAAAAAGCTAATTTTCATCGGTCTAATTACTAATATTTTTACAAATATTATAATCTTACTAAAAATCCATTATCTAATTTAAAAGGCTAATTTTCATCGGTCTAATTACTTATATTTTTACAAATATTATAAGCTAACAATACATCCTCGATAAGAACGTACAAAGTATAATAATAATGGTGTGTAATCAAATTTATTAGATGAAAGTAACGCCATAAATTCGGTATCTGACATGTCTTTTTTAAATTATGCTTATAATATTTTAGATATTTTAAACAAATTGTTTAGACATTTTTTTTTTTTACATATTTGATGTTAAATTTAAATATTTGTAGACATGTTTTCTTTACAAAATAGTCTAGAAAAATCTTTTTACACAATGTTAAATTCAAATATTTTTAGATATGTTTTCCTTCTAAAATTGTTTAGAAAAGTTGTAGGTGACTTCCCATCTTTCAAAAATAATATAGAAAATTTTGAATACTTTTACATATACTAATATAATATTTTAGGTGTTTTTAATATTAAACATACAAATTTTATATTCTCTTATACAAAATAATGTAAATTTCATATTCTCTTATACAAAATAGTTTTACATTGTTTGATCCCGAATATTTAATTTATAATTATTAAGCATTGTTTATCCCCCTCTTTAATTTATAATTATTTTTTTTTCTTTCTCTTTTTAAATAGGATCAATAGTAGTTTCCACTTCCGCCATTGAGTGACTCAAACTCGAGGTCTATTTATAATATTGTTAATTTAATATTGTTCTCGTGCATCGCACGGGGTACACACTAATATATGGATTAACATGTAATACAATTAACTTGAGTACACACTAATTTATTTTTGAAAAATGTATGAAATTATCAAAAAATTTCTAAAATATTCTTGAAAAATATGTCAAAAAACACCTAAATTAAATTATTATATGATAATGTACTAAAATATTTTATTACATCATGGAATACAACTTTCATCAAAGTTGTTTCAAACACACAAAACCATTGTTTTGTCGTATGATTTTGCAAGACCAAAACATATTTCATATTCAACTCTAACAATATAATAGAAATGTTGACATATTAAATTATAAATCATGTATAGTATAAAACAATAGAGTTCTAATTGTTTTTATGATTCAATATAAATAATTAAGTAATTTTTTATATAAAATTTATTTGTCAACCACGGATTTTCTTGCACACTATCCTATCATATCAGTACTAGTTTATAACTTTCAATAATAATATGTACGAGAAACTTGAAAATAATTAATGGAGATATCGTTTATAATTTTCAATAATAATAAGTACGAGAAAATTGAAATAATTAATGGAGATCAATTTATAAAAGTAAGTTTAATTAATTTTTTTTTTAAAGATTTTTGAAACCTAGAATACTGCATTTGAGTTTTTTAATTTTTGTTTTGTTTTTTCACTAGTCTTGTGAAAGAAAATATATGGTGTGTGAAAGTGTATTCACAAAAAATTACGTTTTTGAATTTTTTGCGTTATTTCTAGCCAGTCATACAGTGAAAATAAAATATATTTCAACTATATATTACAGTGAAATCTAATAGGTTGCAAGAACAATGGAACCATTTCGTTAAACGGACGGACTGAGTATTTTGCGTAAGTAGCGATATATAGGGATCAACGAAGAACAAGTTCTTCGATTATTTGGCGAACATAAACTTACCACCAAGAAAATATCGAATCTGATTAGCGCATAAGCCGTCCAACAAATTCCATTAAGGAAAGAGAAGAGGGAAAGGAAAAATGGCATGTATTCGATGCTTTTTGTGGTGATCACCAGCTTCTGATGATGAGACAATGCAAGAGAGATAGTTATGATTATATAAAAAGCGATAAATGTCGAAACAATAACATTTAAAAACAAAAAAAAGGTGTGAATTTACCATTATGGATAGCGGCGAGGCGTACATGATGATGTTGGCGACCATAGAGAGGGTGCCAAGGATGTGAGAGCGAAGGTTAGTGGAGTGTGTGAGTGTGAGGACGAGAAGGGCCAATGTTGCCAGCAACACACACTCCGCCGCCACAGTGGAGGCCACTCTCAGCCGCTTTCTTGGCTGGGAGAAGGCGAGGAAAAGGGAGATGTACACAATCTCGATAAGGAAGCCAGTGCCATTGATGGTCACCACCAGCATGCTGTGGGGGTGTACCATAGGCAGTCCGTATAGCACCCAAAGCCCGCAGTTTACCAAGGTTGCTAGGTAAGGTACCGCCGAGTATTCTTCTACTGATTTTTTCTTCCATATTCCAATGAATGTCGGCCTGTTATTTAATCAATTCATTCATCCAAATATCATAACATTATTATTTTCTGAGTAATGCTATTTACCCTATTTGGATGAAAACTTCGGTCACACCCCAAGTGTAAATGCATTATAAAAAAATTAAAAAATAATGAATTTACACTTGAGTTGTAACCCAAGTTGTCATTCTAAGTAGTTAGGCTCTATAACATTACTCT